CCTGAGCGCTGATAGTAATGCCACATACTGTGTTCCAGTGGTGCCTATCGATTCCATGCTATCACTGGTCAAGCACTCAACCAGCGACTGCAGACCTGTCGGGATTTGCAGCAGCAGAATATCAGTATGTATTTTTATTATGAATTTTTTGACTTCCTAACTTGTTTACTATAATGTTAACTATTTGAATTATTCAAAGATTTTCAATACAACAGTTTGTCAGTGCCGTTTCAGTCAATCTCCAACCCCTACAATCACAGCTAACCGAAGCCTACGGACTCAGTCAATGTCCAGATAATCCAGCAGCGATTATCTCCGAATGTGGTGATTCCGTACCGTGCCAGTACGATTACACCACTCTCAACGCTAAGGTGATTGCACACGTTTTTTTTTGCTGAAATCTATAGTTGTGAAAAGGGAAGAGGCGGCTTATGGCCTTTTTAGAGACCAATCGCGACTGAAATTGGTGTAGTGGGGTCACCGTAAAGAAAGAAATCGGAAAGAACGGTCGAAATAGGATCTACTTGTCAGCGTCAAGGCTGGTCCAAGAGTCGCTTGCGAAGGGGGTTGCATTGCTTCCCCGTATTCGGCTCTATGAGAACTTTTCGGATTGTTGGTTTACTCCTTTTCAGGCCACTATTCGTCTCCTCTCCGTAAAAATTTCGTTAGTGTTGATGATAGCTCCGCTCCACGGATCGTATTAGTGGGAAAGCAAGGGGGTGGGGAAGGTTGTGTTGAGGAGCATATGAGTCGCCATGCTTGACCCTGCTCCTTTTGCAGTTGATTCTGAGAGAGAAGCCGAGGTTCATCGATTCATTGGGAATATGGGCGTGGGACCAAAAAGGAGCGAGGAAGCACACAGACGAGCATAATAAAAGCGACGCGGGGCGGAGTGCCTTGCGCTGAGGTGGAGTCACTAAATGACTTTCCACCTCAACGCCGCTACCCATACATTTTAACTGGGCGCTCCCCGGCATAGGGAGAGAGAGGAGGGGGATTTCGCACCTTGATTAGTTTTTTTGCTAGTTCCTTTTAATTCTCACGTATCACCCTGGTGAGACCTGTGGACTTCTGTCAAGTATAAAGGAAGCCCAGGCTTCTGCATAACTCACATGAGTTCACTGGTCTCCTCATGTGTTATCAGCATGAGAACCAGCAAAATGGCCCCACCAAGCCGAACTGCGCCCCAAATTAATGTTGGACTGCACTTTCTATATCGTTCGCCACACGTTTGCATTGATTCTTGCAAACAATCGTGAAATTTCTCCCCAAACATCTACCAAAGGGTTCAAAAGGACGGAAGAGGGCTCAAAGGAACCCCGATACGTTTCGGTGAGATAAATACATCTAGTAAAAATCTTATCTTACAGGTGATGGGTGTGAAGATCAAGGAGGAGTGGAATGTGTTTACTACAGAGCGAATCGATGCGACAAGATTCTGTAAGTATCAATGGAGTATTCATGTTATTTTTAGTTTATTCTGTATTTTTACACCACTGGTAAGACTTATGGCCTGTGTTTACAACCCTCCGGAGCTGCGCGTTTTTTTTTTTCGCTTTACATCGCAATTTTCCCGGACAGTGCATGTAATAATAGAGTTATACAGTGTTGCAATTTTTCACGCTTACCACGGACCTGTGCAGACGGGGTCAAGTCACTTGTCGCCTCTACCGAGGTAATCCTAGCGTTTCTGCCCTCTGGCCGAACTGTATACTAGGTTTTTGATAGGCTGCCGAAGTCTTCTATATACAGGGGGGCCAAAAAAAGTCATTTTGCCTCCATGACTTTCAAGGCGCTATAAGTTACACTTTATTAAATTTTTATCGGACATTTTTACTACCATATTAAAGAGCACATTAAATACTATAATGATACTCCGCCACAGCCTTCTGGAGGAGCGCCATCGAGAGATTCGGCGCGCGAAAGTGAGTGGGTACCGGAGTTGAGCGAGATCGTTGATTTCTCCGCCACTGTAGACCACCTGTTGAGCTCCGCCCGAACCGAGTAATTGAGAGGCCTAGTTCAGTTCCTACTTAAGCTATTCCACCTTTATTCAGGTTACTCAACGCCCTTCCAGTCCAATCAGGCGAAAGTTTTTATCCACAGCGCTTCGCATTATCATGAGGTGCGCACTCATTGCTGAGTTAGCGAGACAAGTTTTCAAGAAGGGTACGTGGGGGACCACATGTGGAGGAGGCATATCTCTTCACGAGTCTGCTCGATATGAACCAGCGCGCGCACACCCCATTCTGGGAGCCCACGTAAAGAAAATATCGGTTCATTCATTCCAGGTACGGCCGGTCCACACCATCAACCCGCGCCTTGGTGAATGGGGTGAAGATGATGTCCTGGACCGTAGCGACGTTGCCGGAGCTGCTCGATGTTTGAGGTCTTGCAGATCAAGAGTACTGGTCTCCAGGTAGCTATCCATGGGTGATTCCATTCAAGAAGTTCCGCAGCTGTTTGGAGGCACAGGTTGAATGCCAAGGCGCTATTCATTCAGGCCGCGACTGGAGATGATTCATATTTTGGTGTACATGAAGGTGAATGGCGGCAGCCGGCTCCTGCTTATAGAGGAAGATCTTGGGTATCTTCCGCCCTGGTACTAATATCCACTTCCTCTGTCTGGGCTGCGAAAACTTCGCTCTATATGATGACTCGGCCGCGAATGTCTTTTAGTTGCCCCCACCCCTGTATAATGGACTATGTCGTGCAATGCCGACGTAAGTGTTATCTGGTGGGTGCGTCTGTTCTGTTTGTCACTAAATTGACACCAGCACACTGAGAAGAACTTGAAAGCGTTCGGTCATGGTGGCGATGAACAGGCTAGACCGGAAAACTTAGAATAGGCACCCAAGTGAACCATGATAAGCCCCACCACAGTAGCGCGGGGCGTGAGTCGAAAGATTAGCGCATGCTCACTGGAAAAAAAATCATAACTCGGTTCCATGTACGCAGTCCTTACATGAGGAGGGACAGTTGCAGTTAATAGTTGGCAAAGGCTGACCGACAAACAAAGGGGACATACCTGAAATGGCGGGGCGTCTCGAGTGGGCGCGTTCTGTGTCATTAAAACAAGGTCATAACTCGGCCTAAAAGACCAGCCGGAAAGGGGAAAAAGTGGAGTGATGAGGAATAGTGTTGAGTTGGCTGAAGCAATTGGAGGAGACCACACACCGAAATAGCGACTTAATTGAGATGGGCGATGCTCCCCACGAAGGTCGGTAACTCGGTTCCCGAAATAGATCAGGAGATTGCAGAAAAGTCCATGACGAAAATGAACATCTGGCAAGAGTCCACATGTTGTGGCATGCTGAGGCATACAACAGTGCGCGGGGCGTTATCTGAAACAACGCAGGTACCAAAGTTAAAAAAAATCGTATTTTGGCGTCTAAAGCACTGCAGACGGGGCGCAAAAAAAGTGTGAATATCCCTTCTCAAAATTGATCACATGCTCTGACTTGTGCGAGCATCTCTCGTTGTGCCGGCGGAGCGTAGCCGCGGTTGAGACGTTTGAAATTCTGTGAACGTTTCGCAGAGACCTCCAGAAACCAGAGAAAAAGTAGGTTAAGATCAGGAGGGGTCACCGGTTGAGAAGCCGGCAAGGCATACGTTGTGGACGAGCCTGCGGCGAGGTTGACGCCGAAGCTAAATTTAATTGACAATCGGCCTCCCAGAGCTTTCCAGACGCCGGGGAAAAAGTTAGGTCGTTGAGGGGCCACGGGTCACAATGAGGCACACCTTGCGGCTGGAGGTGCGGTCGAGGTACGCGGGGGCCGGTCTCAAGATTCTTTATGGCCTGCCGGAGAAGCCAGGCAGTCCTCTGTGGTACGCGCCTGCCTTGGGGGGCGTGCCTCCATCACCCTACCTGCATTCCTGTGATCAATGCTCGACTATATTACCCGGCTTTCTCTCAATCTGTCACTTGGACCAACGCTCCTACCACCATTACATCGTAATGTGTTTGAAAATAGCAATATGATGTTAGAATATGAACATTCTATTGGTCAAAATGCTGACCATCTGTTTAAATGAAAGAAAAGCCGGATACTAGGTGGTTATTGAAATGTGTGGAAGAAGATAAGCGCGGACGGCACGCACGGCCGCTCGGCCGCAAGTGTGCTCTATCCAAAGCAGGTGCGCCGGCTGGTACAGACATTAAACTTGAACAGGGCGGCCCTTTCGCAAAAAAATTGGTAGAGTATCACTTGCAATTGGATGAGAAACTTTTGATCCTGCAACGAAAGAGTAGGAATCTGCGGGCCGCTATTCGTTCCATAAGACGGGTTTGATCAGGCTACAACCTTTTAGCTTTCATCAAAAACGCAAAGTATATTTCGGAACTAATATTGGTGGGGTTAAAAAACACACCGCAAGTGTACCACACGGGTCCAGAGGGAAAGGGTCAACCAGGACACATCATCGTGCGTTGGGATCCCCTTCGGAAGAGGTCGTACCAGAGGAGCAACTTTGAAGGAGAGGAGTCGTATTCTGCAAAGTTTTCCCCCAACGGCAGTACTTGCCGTGGGGTCAACGTTTCTCATACTATAAGGCATTGGTTTCCACTTCCGATCAGTGTGTAATTGTTGTGAGACTCACTTTCCCTGTAGTACTTGACTGCCGTTAGGAAGGGCGTGGCCGGGTAGGTGAGTTTGGGTGCATGCTGTACGAATCAAGACACCAAGTGGCTTGCTCGATGACGTCGTGATTCATATTTATCGTGCCGGTCAAGATACGCCATTTCTGAAGAGGCTTTCAGCAAACCTTAGAAAATTGGAACTCCTAACCGTCATTTGGTACTGGATCGCGCCAAGCGGATCGTTATATAAGCAAACCATTCCTGCGAATTTTTCCCTACCGACAATGAATTTACTTGTTTCAGATAACAGTTGCGGTCCCATCAATATTGAATATCCAGAATACTTGACAAAGACGTCGTCAATGTATTCGGCTTATTTGCAAGGAGATGTAGCACGATTCGAATGCGTTCAATCACATTGGATCAAAGGTGTCCACGAGTACAAATGTGAGTCCTTCCCATATTTTTCATTATTTTCGGGTTTAGCTGGTCCTACTGGCAGCTATGAAAGTGATGTAATTGTGGGGGCGGGGCTTGAGAACTTCGGCAGGACTGCTTACGAGAAAGATTCGTAGGCACTCTGCAGAAGCCATCCTCGTGTTTATCACATACATACATAGTAGATAAATTGGCGGGGAGGCATTGTGAGGTGGCGTGGAGTGGGCCCAGTCTTCCCCCCCCCCCCCCCTTCCCCGGCTGTGGGTTCTATCAACAATGGCCGGTTCAGGAAGAAAGCAACCAGCGGTATAAGATGCCGCGGGTGGGCTCATACTATGTCTCCTGACACCTCCTCACTGATTGCGACGTATTCACTTGTAGTCCAGAATTTACCCAGTCCATGATAATCATGTGGGCGGAATCAGCCCTCCGCCATGTTCAGTGACGCCCCTTCCCTCTCGTTCATAGTGCTAGAAAGAAAAAAAACTGTGACTCTATGAACATTCAGGTGGCATCGTGGTCGACTATAATCGTCCAAATGAGTACCGGTTCGAATGGAACAAGGGCGAGCAACCATGGTGCCGATCGCGTGAAAAGGAAAACTTCTTCATTTGGCTCAGTGCTATTTTAGGAACCATTGCAATCATTATGGTAGGAATTTGACCTTTTTATTAAATTTTTACAGACGGTACAAGGGGGACACGCGCTCGGCAAGGCGCACCAGTTGCTTGGTTCGTCAAACTTCCAGGGTAGAAGGTATACCAGAAAGATAATGCGCATTGGTTTGTCAAACTTCCAGGGTAGAAGGTATACCAGAGTTCCCAAAAAAGATAAGGTTGTCTGGCTGCCACACCGCAAGGACCCGAAGGCCTTCTGGCCCTTGCGGTGTGGCAGCTAGACGGCTGTCGATAGCGCTCCAAAAGACCCCCATTTATTCCGCAATTGAGTTAAAAAGATGAGCGACCGGTAAGCAAAGAAACATGAAGCGCTCGGAGGAGAGGTAAGAGACACAGAGCGAGAGAATGTACAAGTGCAGTACTAGTAGTGAATGTGCATCGCTCCAGGCATAAGGGGGCGTAGTTAGCCATGAATCAAAAGCCTGTGGCGACTCTGCCGCGCACTTTCGAATTGCCAAGTTGGTACTTCTTCCTCGTTTGCGACCTGTATACCCTACGGTCTAGAGGGGAGGGGGAGGAAGGCTGGGCACTTAGATAATCGAGGAAACTGTATACCTCCAAGGACTATGGTATAGAATGGTTACGCATCTTCTTGCTCAGAGACTGCAGGACCTTTTATAGGCCATCATTTTCATCTTCCTCTGTTGTTGGTGTGTAAAACAGCAAAAACGCGAGGAAAAACGAGGAACTGTGTACGGTAATGGAAATAGCCGATCGGCATCGTTTACTCGGAAGAAATTCGGCACGCCGGTATGTCTTCTTCTTCATTTTTAATTGCAATGGAAAGAAAGGTAATTGAGGCAACTAATAAAGATGTCTATATGATATTTTAGTCATTCGAATCAGAGCCGTTACAAGAAAAACCTCGATATAGCGACATAATGGGAAGGGAGAGCAGTTCCTATCGTACTAGTCCTGCACCGGCCAAAGCTGGTTACAGGTACTGTAATTCGACTTCTTCCTTTACTCGTTTCTACCATTTTACCGTTTCTACCGTTTTCACTATCTTCTACACTTGATTTTACCTTGATGCCTTTTGACATAGGGCGAGTCATACCTACCAACAGTGCTTATTCATGGGCGCTTGTCCCCACTTTATCGTTCCATGAGGGAGGGGAACACAGGCGAGAAAAGCGCAGCAGTCAGTCTGTCTGTTCGCCCCCGCAATAAATGCAGACTTCAGAGCCAGATTTCATGCTAAGCCGTCGAAAATTCCGTAAGTAGCACGGAAAAGCAGAAGTGTAGGTGCTAGTCGACTCGCGCGTGAAGAAAAAAAAACAGGAAACTGTCGAGAACACTTACAAAGGCCTCCTTGTTCCCTATGAGGCCAAGAGTTGATAGGTGAGAGACCAGACAGGAATAGCAGAAGAGCATGCAAAGGAGCAAGAAGACAGACAGCAGCGCGGGCGGGGTCGACTTAGCAACCTTGCGCTTTAACATCCTTACCTCACAACTGTGGACGCGGAACTCGTACAAGGTTATTCGCTGCACACACACATTATCTAGGTAGAAGGCTAAGTCGCCCAGTCATTATAACTGAAATCAGCCGGGGCGTGTCAGTGGCGCGCCAGTTTTGTCGTGGCGCCCAGCTCTTTCCATCGGTCGCTGCGGATTGGGGCGTTTAGTGAGTGGAAGGTAAAGGGCTGGTGTCGTACCAAATTCCACACGCCCCGTCTAGGCTTCAGCGGTAACGACTTTGGTGAATCGCTGCTTTCAATTCTCTCTGTAATAAAATGTTTGACCGTGAGAGATTATAAGGGCAATAAGGCTTTTTTCGTTTTTCACTACTCGCTGCACCAACTGCTCAATCGCTGTTGGACAGGCATTGTCTTGACGCTCTCCCCCCGCCCACTTTCTCCTACAGATTCTCGATTCACAAGAGCAATCTCGGAGTGTGTCTTTAAGTCCGCATGGACATGTGCATTGCCTTTTATCGCGGTCTTTACACGGCCACAATTGCAGGTTAGAAGAACACCTTCCAATGCCATCCCATGTGTCAACACCAGAATCTGCGGCCGTTCGACCAGGGAAGTAATTTACAAGGCTTCAACACCTCGGTCTAGCCAAACGCCAAGTGTCTTTGTGCCTTCTTTCGTCTCATTCTGCCATTCGACAATAATCTCTTCATCTTGGTGTCTTTTTATTGTGATTACTGTGCATTTTGATTTCTGTTATTTGTTCTTCAGTTCAACGTTTTTACCTCAGATACTCTGGTTTTACTGGAAAACGCGTCGTTCAGCGTTATCGTCACTTATTGATTGTCATTTTTCCGGCGTATAGTATATTTTACGGACAGGGTGTATCAATGTTTCCATCTGTCACTAAAAAAACGCAAAATACGCCACATATTGTAGGAAAAATCGATGTTCTGCCAATTTTGTCTCTACTTATCAATATTTATCTCTTTTATTTTTGTTGTACATTTCATGACTGATGACTGTGACATTTTGTGATAAAAATTGATAGATTACTTGTGGACTTTGTTCATTGGCTATTGCATTCTTGTGCTCTGTGAATGTGATAAACTTCATATGAGGAACCTTCTAGACAGGTTGCACACTTACCTCCGTGTATCGTAGTCCTCGCCGTGTGTGAGGGGGGAACGAGCCCGCATCTTCGGGAGCCTGCCATCTTCTTCCCACAAAAATGCAAGGGAACTGGAGAGTTTGGCATTGGGTGCCGGCTCTACGTTCCGCTCGCGCTATTTCCAAGGTGCAGCACTTGCGCACCTAACCAAGGTCTCGCAGCGAAACACATACTCAG